GAATGTTGGATTTTTGATGAAATCACTCTGACTTGTGAAATTGAATTAAATAAGGAATTTTAGCCTAAAGGGAGTCACACCTCATTTTGTTATTGCATCTCACACTGCCTGAAGCAATGTGTACCTGCCTCTCTTCTCTAGGTGTGAGACAGGGTGTTTTGAATAGCGCATGAGCATCAAGTGTGCCTAGAGGATACCAAGAAGTGCTCAACAAGTTCAAAGTACTTTCAAAAGAGAAATTAAAAAAATAGAGTTGTTATAGCACCATGCTTTTTTATGGCTTCTGACCTGCAGCGCTGCAAGTTCAAGAGCAGCAAAACAGTCTGAAATGTGGAAAACCAGCTGTAGTGCTAAACAGGGTTAAGAAAGCTGTATGCTGTACTGGAGTGAACGCTGTGCCACAGAAGTCAGCCCTCTGCTGGTGCAGTTTCGTGTCAGAGAGCCAAACACCTTCTATCGTTTCTAGCGTGTCCTGGTTTAACCCCAGTTGGCAACTAAGCACCACCCCGCCCCTCGCTCACCTCTCCCCGCGCTGTCCCTGTGGGATGTGGGAGAGAATTGGGAAAAAACCCCCAAACCTGTGGGTTGAGATAAAGACAGTTTAATAGGACAGCAGAGGAAGAGAAAGTAATAATAGTGATAAAAGAATATACAAACCAAGTGATGTACCATGCACTTGCTCACCACCCGCTGAACGATGCCCAGCCCTTCTCCAAGCAGTGATCACAGCTCACTGGCCAACCCCTCCCAGCTTTATATACTGGGCAGGACATCATATGGTCTGGAACAGCCCTTTGGCCAGTTGGGGTCAGCTGTCCTGGCTGTGTCCCCTCCCAGCTTCTTGTGCCCCTGGCAGAGCAGGGGAAGCTGAGAAGTCCTTGACTGGTGTAAGCCCTGCTCAGCAACAACTAAAACATCAGTGTGTCATCGACATTCTTCTCATCCTAAACCCAAACCACAGCACTATGCCAGCTACTAGAAAGAAAATTAACTCTATCCAAGCCAAAACTAGGCCATAGCCTGAAGGGAAGGCTTCTCTTGTAAGCATCTTGGGAATTACTGCATGGCACACTGGTACAAGCATGGGGTTTTTTTTAGCTGAATGCAGCCATGACTCTTGCTATACAAAGCACAGCTTTGCCCATTAAAATAAATCCTCTGTATGAAAGATGTCATGAATGCAGCATGCAGGATTATATTTTGCACTGGCTTCCATGAAATGAAAAAGCTTTTGGAAAGGTTCTCCTTGCCCTGGGGAGGAAAAGGAGAAAGGCAACAAGCCACATGCTGAGACACCCTTCTTATGCTTAACATCCTGGGTTGTTTAATCCCTTTTGGATGTCCAAATCCTGCCATCTATTGAATTGCCCATCAGTCCCAAAATTTCAGACGATGCTCCAGGCATCCAAAAGAAAGAGCCTCTTAACCTTGTAATGGTTTGACCTTGGCTGGATGCCAGGTGCCACCAACCTGCTCTATCGCTCCCCTCTTCAGGGACAGGCGGGGAGAGAATGAGATGGAAAAGAAAGAAAACTTGTGGGTCAGGATAAAGGCAGTTTAATAAAAAAAAGCAAAAGCAAAGGCTGCATGCAGTAGCAAAAGGAAGACAAGATTTTATTCTCTAGTTCCCATTAGCTGGCGATGCCCAGCCACTTCCTGGGAAGCAGGGCTTCAGTATGCATAGCCATTGCTCCAGAAGACAAAACGTCATAAAAGATGAATGTCCCCCGTACTCTTACTTTTCCCTTAGTTTTTGTATCTGAGTTGATGTCATATGGTATGGAATATCCCTTTGGTCAGTTTGGGTCAGGTGTCTTGGCTACGTCCCCTCCCAAGATCTTGCCCCCTCCCAGCCCACTGGTGGGGGTGGGGGGGAATGTTGGAGACACAGCCTTGATGCTCCGGTGTGTTATCAACACCTTTCTACATACCAATAGAGAGCACAGCACTATGCATCTTGACCCAATACACCTTTCTCTACAAATTAGGGAACTGAAAAAAAAAAAAAAAAGACAAAGGCACCCTGTGGATGTACCCATCAGATGAAGTCAACGTTCTTTTCCCTCTAGGCTGGAACTGTTTCATGCCCACCCTGTGCACCCTCTCTACCTACTGGGCTGGGACTGGCAGCGTCATCTTTCAGGTGCTGGCAGGAAAGACAACAACAACAGCAAGGCAAAACCACAAAGGGAAGCAGGGGATCGCTAGGCTTGTGCAGTAAATTTCATCTAGGAAAGTTAGATGATTTGATTTCTCCAGTTTGTGAGTTATAGAGCTGAAAGCCCTCATCCTCATTTAAAAAAAGCCACAAGAAAACAGAACTCTCAGATCTCTAGCTTTTTAATAAGTATTTCAATGATTGTACAGAGTTTGTAAGGCAAATGTTTAGAAAGGCGATAGCATTAATGTAGTCACAACTCCCCCAGTGGAGCGCTGTACGTAAGGGTAGGTGTTTGCATATAACTAGTTACGGAAAATAAAGCAGAACTGAACACTAGAAATGTGTGTTAAAGGTCTGTGCTGACATTACATTTTTAGGGCATTATACAAATTTCTTCAATAATGCTAAAAAACAATGAAAAATGAAGAAGTCTACAGCGAGCTGAAGTCTCTCAGGTACTGGCAGGCTACGGTGAGACGTTTGACTCGTTGACTGAGGAAGTTCCTATGCTTAGCAGCTTCACTGTCCTCCTGAAGGAGATGGCTTAATTTGTCTTTTTCTTGCAAAAGATGCAACATCGCAGTCTGTAAGTTGTCCCCGAAGTCATGAAGGGCAGAAGACAGGATGATCAGAGGTATCTGGTTGGAGAGGCGTTTACTTGCTCCCTGCAAGAAGGGGGAAAAAAGGCAAAAGATTCGTTTCCCAAAAAAGCTAAAAAAGGAGGGGGCTACAGGTAATCTGGCAAGAAGTGACAACACATTTTAAAAATGTTGTACTGAGTTACTGTTCAAGAAGTGAGTGTTTCTGGGAACTAAAAAGTGTTTGCTGTTGGTCTCTTTTGTGCCTAAAGATCTAAAAATTAAGAGTTACGGGAGTGTCAGCTGTTGCTTTTTTCCCTCAGCAAACTAAACCCAAGGCAGGCTGTTGCCTGCTTAGCTCTGCCAGCTATCACTGGTAAAAGTTATACCAGGACATACCTGAGGAACAGTACTTGTGAACAATTTCTGGTGTCAAATCCGTCTTCTCTGAACACTACCAAGCCCTTATGGTACAGGAAATCAAACAGTGATTCTTTTTCCCAAAGGCGGTAAATTCCTGTATTTAGATGGTATTTCTGACGTGGTTGTCCTCTTAAGTGTAAGACAGCTCTGGAGTAAGCTTTAGCCTTAAGGGAAAATGTCCTTAGCAATAGTGAGAGCAGCCTTTGCCTACATTACATCTATAGATAATTTTTTGTTTAACCTTACGAAATGTCTGGTCTAGTTATTTATGGAAATTGAAACAGATTGACCTAGAAGACCCTGTGGGGCCCTTTTCCCAAAGACATCCACAGGGCTTGGGGGCTTAGCTCGTGCTCTTGGGCGATGGGAGGTTCAAAACCTCTCTGATGCTGGAAGGGATCTGCCGCCAGCCCTCCAGGTACCAGGTGAGCACTTATGCCTTAGTGAGTGGCTGTAATTGCTGTTAGAGATGTCGTCTTCCTTTCTTTTCGTGGCACCTGAGTTGAAAATGGCAAGGGGAAGACCAGGCAGAGGCACATTTGATTTGTAGGTCCTACAGGGTTTAGGCAGTCTGTTTCCAGAGAAGTCTAAGGTATTTCTGGCTTTACATACCTCTGGAGCTCAGTGGCTGCAAATCTTTCATGTACAAGGATGGGGCCAAGCTCAAGCTGAAAAATACCTGACTAGATGTTTAGTTTTTCTTTCTAGTTTGCAGAGATCTAGTCAATAGCAAGTAATTTGGCTGAGTCAGCTGAAGCACTTACTGAGCCTATGTATTCTCCAGGCACTACTGACCATAGCGGGAGGGACCTTAGATGCTTTAAATATGGGTGTTTTTCTGGAGCCAAGCTCTACCCAGAATCTTGACAGTCCTGCCATAGGTGACACAGATTCGCGCATGCCATTTTCAAAGGCCATGGACACTTAAGAGCTTCCATCTCATTCAAAGTGTGTTTGGCCTTGCATAAGTCCCATGGAGATACGATGCCCTGGCATTTGTTCTTATGGAAAATGGCGCTTAGGCCGTTTGCAAAAAAATGTGTAATTAGCATCTAAGACATTTGTGTTACAGGAGAGAGTATAGCAAGGCAGGAGCGAAGAGCTTATGCAGTTTTGCCTTTGTCTCTTGCTCTCTGAAAGCTGATGGTTTTCTCCCCATCAGCCTGAACATTTAATTGCAGGAATTTGTCAAAACCTCACTATTGAAATTCAAGGTGAGATGCTACCTACCTTACTGCATTATTAATATTGAACTTGTTGCTTTCTGAGGGAGTTTTGTGAAACAAAGATCAAAAGCAAAGCCTGATACTGCTTGGTCTCCTTGCTGTCTTTCTTTAAGACAATCCTTTGTTAAAACATCCCATTTGTCTTCAGACATGTAACTTCTATAGAGCTATCTGCAATACAGCATACTCACTCTGATCTCTACAGATAGATAGCCTAATCCATTTTAACTTAACGTTTTATTATCGCTCCGCCTGCCGCATTTAGGATCTGACTGCAAGCCACTGGCACCACTTTCTGCTGGCAGCAGGAACATGCAGAGGGACTCGAGGCTGACCTGAGCTCTCACATGCTGTGCCAGACGCCAAAGTGCTGTACACAATGTTGTTAGGCTTGTGGAAACTAGTGTTATTTGAAAACCAAGAAACGAACTTGCAGTGGGGAAAGCAATCCTGGGACTGTTGCTTCCTTTGCTGGAGAGGAGGGCTAGCTATCCAACCGAATATCAATAACTTCTACTTACAGGGCTAAGGGCTCTTCCCCATCCTATCCTCTCCTCCGTGCTGGTAAGTGACTGTCCTTTCCTCCCCCCGACACTTGTCCCCATACAACAGCCAGCACGAGAGCACTGTACTGGCGTGGGGCTGTGTAGGCAACAGGGAGCCACCCCCGACTCCATGAAAGCTTGGAGGAGGGTGGGAAGAGGACTCACTTGCCGATGGCATATTCCCTGAGCGAGGGGCAGCCACGGCAGGGAGCCATGCCAGGCTGGGGGGGTAGCTAACAAGTGGCTTAGGAGCCAGCTGCCATTTACACAACCTGCAAACTTTTCTAATCACCATACCCTGCAGCGCACAGCTACTTCTCCCCAGCGGCTGTGCTGACGCAGCCCGTCAGACCAGCTTTGTCCTGGCATTTTCATCACTGGTCAGAAGCTCCGATTAACTCGTACAGAAGCTGTGCGTGTATCTGGACAAGACGCTTATACCCTCTGGCTACCAGTCTCTGCATAGGAGTAGCATTGCATGAAAAACTAATGACTACAGCGAGATCGGGATGAGGGGTATGTGCTATAGCATTCAGGGCACAGAAGAACTGCTGTATTGTAGCCTGTAAACTCACATTCAAATAGGCCTTCGTGTGAGAAAGCATCTCCTGGACAAAGGCGGGGTCTTGACTTCTACCTTAACAGAGTTTAAATCATTAAGGTAAAGGTTATCCTGGCAGTACATGATTCTCTCCATTTTAAACTGGGTCTGGATCTGTCTTTCAGCCTCCAGTGCTTGTTTCTCTCTAATGTCTTCAATTCTGGTCTAGGAAAGAAAAGAACAACAAGTTCTCAGACATTTGCTTCCTTTGCAAAGGTGCCAGTGCTTTGCAGTGTCCCCAGGGAATGGCAAGGTGGGCACCATGTTCAACAGTCCTTGCTGCGGCACCATCTGATCCCAGACTGTCTCTTGGAAACATGGAGTAATGCTGCAGATTCTGTTTCCTCTCTTGTGAAAGAGCAGGAAAACATGGTGGGTTTGTCCTCTTCTAAAACACGAGTGGGATCAGTCAAAACTTGGTGCTTGGACCCCGAAGGAAAATAGAAGGTTGATGGGAGCAAGCAGCAATGGCCAGTCATGGGTTCAGCCTGCAGCCTGTCCTTGGGTTTTGCCTGCATTTTGTTTGCATCTCCCTCTTGCAGTAGGCAGTGACAACAGGCACTGATGTGAACTCCATTGCCCCTCCTGCCCTTCTCAAAAACCACACTCTCCTACCTGTTGGCAGCAAACCAACCCCATCTAACCCCTCACTGTCTGGCATTTTGCAGTAATCTGGGCAGCAAAGTTCCCTCAGTCATCTTCAAATTCCCTTCAAATGCTTTCCTGGCATCTCTAAGAAAGCAGCCCAACTTTTTTTCTCATCTTTGGTGTCTACCAGAAGTTCCTACCTCTTCATTCCTCTCACCATGTTATGCCTAAAGACCCTCCCTGAACAACTCTGTCTTTGGCCGCAATAGCTTATTTGCTTGCTGCCTGGTTGGCCTGGGAGCTCAGTAGGGTTTGGCCATGCAAGTCAACTAGCAAACCATCTCTTCCACTCACATTTGCCTTTGAGTTTCCTTTTTAAGCAGGCCCCTGTGAGTGGACTCTGCCTCCCGGCTGTCCAGCATTGCTTCTCATCACTTCCTCAAAGCTCTTTCTGAGAAAAGGTCTTCAATGACAACCAAATAATTTAACTCCACTCCAAAACATGCAATCCCCCAATTTGTGAACAGTCATCTTCTAACTCGCTCATAGTTGAATGATTTTTGGCTTGTCACCTTTTCTCAAAGGTGAGATACCTGCACTGGCTAACACCCAGGCTTGCCTTTCAGAGAGGGAAAAGCACTGTTTAGCGCTCTGAGGCTACCCACACACTGACAAATCATTGCAGGACTTAAATTTGAAATTAATGATAAACTCCTAAGGTTTTCTTTGCATTGTGTGGTATGCATCAAGAATGTGACCAGACTGAATGAGGAATGTATGTTTTAGATCTTGCCAAAGTTGTACCAAAAGGCAAAACACACTTTCATTGCTACCATTATAAACATGCTATCATTTTCAAGCATTTCCTTATTTTATAAAAACCATAGGCCTGCAGGAAATTCCGTGCTTGCATAAGGGTAACTCAATGGGATGGGTACTGTAAGCATGGCTGTATTTACAAATGCCATTCTGTCTTGCTTTTGTCTTATCTCAGGTTATAGGTAGTGTCTCACCTTAACAGCTCTGTTTAGATTGTGGAAATTAGCAAAATGCTTGTCAGTGAGTTCCATAAATTTCTCTTCCACCAATCCTAAGGGAAGAACAGACAGACAACATAAAGTCAGGTAAGCAAGTGAGGTTTTTAAGGTTAATGTGACGCTTGGGAAAACTATTCTTTTTCTGTATTCATCCAGAAATAGCTGAGCAGCAGTACTGATGCACTATGCCTTTTTGACCAATATTAACAAGTAGGAATTTAGATTCCTACGTCCAAGAGCGTGAGCCATTAAGGACCTCCTGCAACCGCTGAACACCTGAGAGATTGAATAGCACTGAGATTTCTTTGATAAAGCAGTTTCTTTGCTCACAGCTGCATCTGACCAGATGTGCCATCACTTGGCCATGTAAGCACATCTGCATCTCTCCCCCCTGAGAAGCCTCCCCAGGAATTGGGGCTAGCACATGTACTACAGAGCACTGCATCTGGCACACACACCATAGCTGCCTTCTAAGGCAAACATAGGTGAAATAGGATCATGACATACTTTTTCCTTGGGTGCTTTTTACTGGATGAACATTGTCTCCTTTCCCCCAGCACCAGGTACTTCTTCTATACTATTTCTTTACTGTGTTATTTATTACAGTTACTTTCTAACTCCCTTCCACCAGCCACTGGGAAAAATATTAAAAAATGCTGGAGACCATGTGTAGAGATTGGAGGCTCTAGAGAAGAAGCAAGCCCCCAGGTTGAATCAGGTTCACTTCCCCACACTGAAGTATCGTGGCTGGAGCTCTTGCCCCAGCAGGGAGAATGTTGGCTTATCCTGGAAATAAACTTGTTAGGCACACCAGTGTCTCCCATGCGACAGCCTCATGTGGCCTGTGAGACGTACTCATCACATTGTGCAGTATCTCGATGGCTGGCTGCTCCATTTCTGTGATTTCCTTTTTTATAATGTCCTCAAATGTCTTGAAACTGGTAAAGCCTGGGAACTCCCGGCCACGATACTGGTCTTCATATTTCCACACTTTACTGGGTACATTTTTTTTAGCTGTAATATTAAAATAACATTGTTTTACTACTAAACCACTCAATTTATAAATTTCAGATTTAAGAAGAAAGTTATTGCTCCTCTTTGAAATGCTCTTGAGAAGAACAACTACTGAGACAATGCTTTAAGCAATACCATTGTTACAGAACCGAGCTAACACACATTATTTCTCAGGGAACGAACCGTCTCACACAGTGGATCAAGCATCTGACTGACAGAAAGCAAGCCAGAAATTATGATGGGGCTCAAAAATACCAGTTCTTCTTGGAATTGCTACCCTCACAGAAGTGGCCGTTACCAGTCACTTCTGAGTTTTAAAAAAAACAGAACAAAACAGAACCCCAAACTCACTAAACAGTCTTATTCCAGGGAATCTACTGTTGGCTAGCTGGTTTTTTTAAAAGATATTACAGTCAATATTTCTTTGTTGATATTGTATGAATTTGGCCGTTACCAGTCACTTCTGAGTTTTAAAAAACCCAGAACAAAACAGAACCCCAAACTCCCTAAACAGTCTTATGCTATCTTAAATGAAGTATATCCCTTCAAATTGGTTTACATATTCAGGGAAAGATGTGTTTCTAAGTGTTTTGAGAGGTTTTGATATTGCTCCATTTTGGGGTAAAATTTGTGAACCAGGGGTCAAGTGAACACGCGGAAGTAGAAGTGAAGCCATGATTGCATTCAGTTCTAACATTCAGATATATGACACCATGTCTGGATAATAAAAAAAAAAAAAAAAAGAAGAAAAGAAAAGAAAACCAGAAGTAGATGTGGAGTTCAAAGTCTGAACACGTACCCGTGCAGTTAAGGTAGTACAAAGCTGTAACACGGCCGCAAGAACATCTGTCAGCTTTGCAACAGAAAGTTCCAGGCTTCAAGTATCCAGAATATCTCTATTTTTAATACTTTAATCCATCATAAGAAAGCTGAAGTTAAACAGAATCATCTGACATGCCATGATGTACCTTCAGAAATCCTAGCGGAGGCTGATAACAATGCTTTCTATTGAGGAAGGGCTCGCTAAAGCTACCTCTAGTTGTCAAGCTATGGATGTGAGCTTACTCTGCTGCAGATGCAAATACTTCACCTGAGCATGCGTACACATGATTTTGGGGTAGCATATTGTCAGCAAGAGCCGTGCTGTTGTAAGAGCTGCTGCGTGCTGCTACCCTGATCCTACTGTGAAGTCAGACATATTAATTGAAATCAACGGGGATAACCTGAAAGTGCCCAGTGGATTCTCCACTGTGGTTCAGCTGCCATGTGATGCCTCGCGTATCTTCTGCAACTCAGTTGCACTCTGTCCGCTGAAGAAGCTGCATCCTTCTGCTAGCGCTTTCTGCCGTTTTTACATCTATGTCTTCACGCCTTCATTGCCTTACTCTTTTATTCATCCCCATAAAATCATGTTGACTGGCTTGGTACTTCATGGATGGAATGTAAGAGACATTGACATACGCCAACGTCTGTCTGTCTGTCTCTCTTCACATATATGCAGATATATACACATATATTTGTCTCTGGCTGATGGCACCTTTGGAGCCTGTTTGTACCTATCATTTTCAGAGTCACTAGTGATGTTGGCATAGATGTGCATCAAAGACTAAAAGAACTTCTTTCAAGAGCTACTGCTTGACTGGAAGCTGACGCTATTTCATCTCTAAGAGCAAACGACGGGGTCTCTGAAAGATGTGAAAAAGATGCTGCAAAAGCTGTTGAGTGTACAGCAGAGTTCAGCCTGCGTGTATCACTCTATGCCTCAGTTTAGAACTGAGTTTGGTTAAGCAATTAGCAAGATGGGTGATGCACAGAAAGGGGTACTCTTTACAAGGTTGTGGTTATTTCAGACTGAGAATCGCTTTCTCCACACCTTAAACCAGAGCTAAAGTAGAATAAAAAAGACCAAAATTCCAAAACATTATTAATAATACTAATAACAACAACAACCACCAAATTTATTCTATAGTTTAAATATATTATTATTGTTATTATTATTAATTATTAGTGTTCATGTTGGCTTTGTTGCTGTTATTCAGAAGAATGGTCCAGAGAATCACCAACCAGTTCTGTGCCACATTCTTGATTTTATTGCTTTGCTGGGAGAAGAGAGACATCCACTGAGCTCTCCCTAATGACAGCATTTAACGCAAGCTGGGTCTTTCTCCCCGAGGACCAAAGCATAACTTCCCTAACACTACAACAGATGAATGATCCTAGCGTCTTTTTCACTTTCTTGAAAACACCCCATTGATGATGCTGTGTCTTGATTTAAAAGCAAGGGAAGGGAATCTCAGCTCAGCTGCAAGTGATGTTTTTCTATGCTTACCCTTTGCAGCACACTCCAGGAGAATCACTGCCCATGTTTGAAACTCTCTGCGGATTTTTGCGAACAGTCTGACTTCATTTCCAAACATCTCTTCCTCTCCGTTTATTGTCTGAGAGATGTCTTGATTAAAGAGTTTGATCAGCTGTAATGAATTCAAGAACCATCAAGCAAGGTAGTAAAGATTCATTTCTTCAGATTAACTTGCACATGTTAAGTAAATCTACAGTCATTTGATGTCAAAGCAGGGACATGATTCATTGAAAACACACCTTTCTTACAACTTTTATGCTCTTAGCTCCTGGTGGGGTTTTTTTGGTTTTTTTTGTTTTGTTTTGTTTTGTTTTTTGTTTTTGTTTTGTTTTTGTTTTCTTCAAAACCAGCACAACTAGAGGAGAACAAACTTGACAATCTTCTTTTTTTTTCTTTTGTTTTGGTTTATTTTTGTTTCCCTGTGGACTCTTAGAACTATTTACTAAATTCTAATTGACAAAATTTGTATGAAGTCTTTGAAGGCTGGTGAGCTTTCAGAATAAGCACCTCTGCTGGCCTGCCAAAAGCTTACTGTGAGGGGTTAGCTCCCCAGGACGAAACACTTCGATGGACTTGCAAACCGTATTTTGATATCAGGAATGCATTTGATTTTATGAGTGCTGTAAACAATGGAAACCCTTTGAAATGTCGGGCAGGCAGGAGTGTAAGTTTTCCCTCTCTGAGATGCTTGATTTTGACCAGTTAACCAGGTTGTTGTTCAGCTCTCTTGCCCCATAATCACAGGAAGAAAATTGCCAGAAGGGGCGACAAGCTCCTCTGATCCATTATTTTTACAGGTGTGATGTATTACTGCCAGAGGTTTGCCTGCGATACTCTCAAAACACCTCAGTGACAGATACCACAAGCTTCCTGGTGGTCCACGCTGATGGTTTGTTAACTTTAGGTGGTTTCTTTTTCTCCCACATTTACCTCCTCATTCTGCTCCATGACCAAACCAATATTGATACTTACATCTGTGAGGAAAATCAGCTGCTCAGACTCTGTTGTGGGTGTGCCTCTTCTATACTTTTGTAGATCCCGTATTGTTTTCTGAAGTACCTCACGTATTTGACTCTCTAGTGTTGGCAGAGTTTTCTGGGGGGTAGACAGTGAAGAAGAACATTTAAGTAGCTTAAACATGTCTGGTTTTGGAAGGAAAACAAAATCCCTCTAAGAGTGACCTACGCTTGCACATGATCTTTACTGCTCTTAGGAGTCCAAGAGCTCTCTGTCCTTGCATCCCATGTGTGATAGTGGGTTGGCATGGAAGTGTAAATATGGCCTTCACTGAGAGAAGGCAGGGGGCTAGGATATCACTGAGAAATCTGAGGCTGGACCTCACTGCAAGGCAGGCAGAGTGGCTGCAGTCTAGGGCAACATTTCACCTATGGTGAGCCAAAAACTACGTTCTCATGGGTTGCGCCAGGGAAGGTGGTGATGTGGGGAATGTACTGAACCCTCTGTTCCTGATAAATACCCAATTGAACACAGCTGTTTAGTTGCCTATTTTGTGTAAGGTTACATAAATGCATATTTTTTCTCCTTCAGGACTGAATTCAGAGGTTCCCTGTATTTTAGTATTTTCCCTTATTCAAATAAGATATATTACTTACAGATATATGTATATAAAATTAAAAACCCAATATACCTACATTAGTATAGCAATATAATAAAACAATTAGGTCTTACTTGAGATTTTGAAGAAATTTTCAGTTAAATAGAAATTATTGTGTTTTAGTAAGCTCATAGCGGTAACTTGTCACCCAGCTGCCCAACACTCTTCACAAACAAAAAGAAATATCATGGCTGCCATTGAAAAGGCAGGAGTGACGAGTCACATGTAGGTGAAATGACTTGCCTATTGTCAATCTTCAGCTTGAAAGCAAATCTGAGGACAGAGCCGAGTTTAACTCTCAGTTAAAATTTGTTCTCAGATTGCCGGATTGAAGAATAATTAAGTATTATCTATGCATATAAAGATGCAATCAATTGCAATCCAAGGTTGAAGAGCTGAACTTATTCTTAGATTGTAACTGATACAAACAGCTTAGTGTGGCACCTTTGTTACTTACAATAATATGTCTCACAAGTTCATTTGTGAGCTTCTCTGCCAGATGAGGGATAGTAGCCCTTCTTTCTTCAATAAGAACGCTGCAAAAAGGAGGAAGAGGTGGTTTTAGATAGACCATGTGTGCAGGGCAAGGAAGAAACACTGCTGCTCTTCTCTGTTTTCACTAGTTCTACTGCCCAAGTAGAGTGAAGCAAAGGCCCTCTGGGGAGTGCTAGTACAGATGCGGCAGCATGGTGGCTTTTGTGCAAGAGCTGTTTGACAGCTGCTGCTACTGGCTAAGCAAAGGGAAACCAAGAAGAATCTGAAAATAGCAAATTCTGACAGCAGATTAACGTGCTACTGTATTATTTCTGCATGCATGCAGTACACTGATTCAAAACAGTTTTTACCTGCCATTCTCTATATTATGATGGACTTGCTGCTGAGTCACCTTCTGGGGAAATCTGTACCCTCAGCACAGGCAGTATCCTTTCTCAAACTGAGTTTCACCATGTCTTCCAGTGAATAGAAATACTTCAGTGCTTAACTTGAATTCTTTGGGACTATTCTGAACTTCTGAAGGTCATTGCACTTCTCCCAGAGTTAAGCAAAGAGATATATTGAACTTGCATGCAAAATACATTTTAAAAGTTTATTTGACATATAAAATTCTGGTTTACTGGGACGCAACATTACATGGGCAATCAGAAATAGCCAGTATAAATAATAGCTGTTTGTAACCCTAATTCAAATCTCGGCAAGTCAACAGGAACCTTTGAAGTGACTTTAATATGTTTTCAATTAGGTCCGTTCTGGGAGAAGTACCTGAAATGTTTGTGAGTCTCGAAGAATTTTCTCTCCTGCTGGATTGCAGTGGCCAAGGACAGCTTGTTCTGGATGTCCTGCTGCCCACGACACTTCACGATCATGTAACCTTTTTTGAGGGGGATGATCTGGTTTCGTATTATGTTAATGATAGACTCTTCAGTCCCTCTGTCCACCAGGTCGGGTTTCGTGAGGATCCCTGTGAAGTTACCCAAAGAGAAAGTTACTCGAGCGCAGGAGTGAAGGTGGGAGAGCTGCAGGAGGACATCCCACCACCAGAGGGGGAACGTTCTGTACCGTGTTTTATAAAGCAAATTCTTTTTGTTTTGTTTTCTCTCTCCTAGAAAGCTCTCAGCTCCTGGGCTGTAAAACTTGCTCTACAGTTGGCCTCCTGCCACACCTTTTGCCTTGCAAACCTTTTTTAACAGGCAATAGCAAAGCTTTCCCACCATTAACTCTGAGATTTTCGATTTCCAATTATTCATAACACGAATGCCAGCAAGATTCAAAATTGGAGGATTCTTAGAGCTACTGGATCATCTCAAGCTTTGTAAATAATTGATTTAGGCTGTTTTCTTTTTTTTCCTTCTTCTAGTAGCTAATTTCACAGTTCTGGCATGGAATACAGAACATCAGACCTTAATGGAAGAAAAGATTTCCACTTAACTCGTAGCTTAAAAATTGCCTCACCTAGTGTCCTTTCTCCACTGGGGTCCACCTCTTGAGCCATTTTCAGTGCTTCTGTTGTTGCAATATCCACGTTACATGGCACCACTACCAAATTGAGTGTCTCTTTGCAGCCAATAATTTTTTTCAGTAGCATTTTGATCTGCAATGCAATACAGCAGTAATGAAGTTCAGTGAAATGAGATGCTTGCATGTAGGATGTGAGCATTTCTGGCAATACGAGCCACTGTCTGATTACACTAAATGTTGCACATACTGGGGACAGTATTATATCCTAAAGGATGGCATGGAAATGGGTCAGCAGAAGAATGCAGCCTCTTTTCCCATGTCAAGATTAATCCAAATATCTGACATGAATGAGACCGGACTGTTGTTATGCCTGTCCCGAAAGCTATGTAAAGTTTAACCTCTCATGCATATAATCTTTCATTATGGAAATATTAAAGATATTTCATAAATAATCATGTGATATAAGAAAAGCAAGTTCTGATGTCTAGTTACACACAGAAAGAAAGCAAGCTAGATTATGCTGATAAATCTAAACTTTGTATCTCTGAAAGGAGAACAAATGTCTTTGGCTTATATTTTAGTGGAGTATTTGTGACACCCCCCCCCCCAAGTCGCACATGACATCTAGTTGGCATTGTTTCTGTGTTTAAATGCCAAACTAAAAGTGTTTCTCACAGTTTGTGTTGTACTGCAAAAGGTACAGACAGCTCTATTGTGCTTATACCAAAGTAAGTTAACTCTTTTTTTTTTTCCTTAGTTTTGGTCAAGGTGCCTCTCTTTTCTACTTCCTATCCATCCCAATTTCTGACGTGCTACAATGCTGTAGCCTCCATCTCTGAAGCACGCAGGCAGCTGGGGACAATGGAAATGTGTGGATCATGTTGCACCTGCTGCTTTCTTATGAATAAAATAGAAAGTTTACTACCCAACTGTGAAATGAAATTACTCTTCTCTCAGTGATTAAAGCCCAGGCGATCCAATCTTGTCTTATTTTTGTTGAGATGCCAGTTTAGTTTGGGCTACTCTTATTCCAAGTTCCTATCTACAGGTATTTGAGGAGAAACAATACACCCAGCTCCTGCACATCACCCTCACAGCTGGCCTTGTCCCCCTGGAGTTTTATTTGCATTCCCCAGCATTTCTTCTTAAAGCAGCAGAGGAAGAGCAGAGACCCCCTCCACTTTAGGGCATATGCTGTTTACTTCAAAAAGGGTCTTCTGGGATCCCTTAAGGGATGGGAGAAACCAGGAGAGGTCTGATTCTGATGTCTCTGTAAGTAAGGGATGACAGAGCAGTGAACCTGTGAGAGGGGCAATTGGATGCCTTGCTCCAGAAGAGCTTACAAGAACTCAGATCTATTCAGCTTTGCCAAATACATCCACAGAGCTGGTAAGAGACAATTGATTTTGGGATGTATCTATCTTCCAGACTGCAGTCTAGCCGAGCAACATTGGGGCAGCACTGTGTTCAGGGTCTATATGGCCAGGTTATTCCATGCTGTCATGGGTAGGCTGTGTCAAGGCACCTTGAGGGGGCTCCTTCATGACTAACGTGGGCAGCTCCCTCCTGCACGACAAGGCAGGCAGGAGATCCTGGACCTCACTGTTCGTATTGGCAATTCCTTGCCTGAAAAATAGGCCTCTTTGTTAGTGTAGCTCCATTGCTGGCTCAGAAGCCCAGCGTAACAACTCCAGCATCCTACAGCAAAGGCTCACATATGAGGCAGGTTACGGAATTGACCCTGTGCCCAGGCTGGCATATGAGACTGAGTTTTACCTGTTCCCCAATGTCTTTTGGCTGATCGCCCACGGCCACTCTGGCAATTCCAGGAAGATCAATTAGTGTCAGATCTGGGACATCTGGGGACCAAATTTCTAGGGAAATGAGTTGTCCACTAATGGCACCTCTAGTACCAGCCACAATATCCTGGGCTGCAAGGAGAAAAGAGCAAGGCAGTGAATACAGGCTTCAGACAATGCATCGAAGTGAAGCTGAACACAATGACCTTGAAAAGTACCTACTACCACCTATGGTTCTTTTAGGCTTGGGGTTTTTTCAGATTCAGCCATGCATGTAAATCCATTTATGCAAAAATCTAAGTAAATTATTATGCAATATGTGGATACGTGGAGTCCTTTTGGAATGTGAAATTTAATATTTTACAGAGCATATACTTATGAACTCTCAAATATGCAGACAAAATACATGAAAATAACCCACAACGGAAGTGATCGGATAAAATACTGTTCAGTTGTAGAAATACTTCGTCAACATCAATACACATTGTAGGCATTAATTAATCCTTAGGTGCCTTGAAATATAAATAGGTGTTATTCTATATTCTTCACGTTTTGATAGAGAGGTTGAGAGACCAAGTAATTTGTCCCAGATCTTATGAGGCAATAACGCTTGAACTATGAACAGCACAGAGAGGCAAAGAAACCCCGTAGTCATTCTCATGATAGATTTTTCAGCTTTGTAATTAGCTTAACCAATTCACACCACTTGCCTTGCCATTTTTGGAAGGATATATTGAAGACATCAAAAAAATATACTGAAAAGCTAATGAAAAAAACATTAGGACAAATAACAATTTTGCAGAGATGTGCTAGTTGAGGAAATAAGGACAACCCAACTTTTACGTTTAGGGCAAGTGCTTACTGCTCTTTGGGTAAGAAAAACGTTTCCTTGCATAGCATGAAATGCCATAAAAGTAAAGCTGTGGCATGGGAAGGGCAATGATTGAGGCTATATTCACACTAGCTGGCAGAAGCTCTATATGTCCTCTACTCTGCCTTCTTGCAATGTCCTCCAAAGTCATAAGATTTCCAGCCACAGACACCTCAAGCATTCTCTGAGCTTTTGAACTGATGACAGGAACATTTAGGGCTTTGCGTGTTTACAATTTGACAGACAGCCTCCCCAGACCAGGCAGGCAGTATCCAGCTGAGGACACAGCCTGAGCTTTTTTTGGACATCATGGATCATCTTCATTACTGAAGTCATAAGTAGTACAACCCTCTTGAGAGAGTTATGTTATGCTACCCTACCTTCTTCTGCTCTGAATTCAGCCCTTGGTGCTACTCATGGCTACAATCACTGTCTTAGTCTAGGGACAGCCTAAGAAAGGGGAAGAAAGGATTTGGAGGAGATTGAGCAGGCCAAATCAGAAGGGAATACGTTACAACTCACCTTCTCTTATTGCTTTCTCCACCTCAGAGGCATTCTGGAGCTCTTTGCTGATATTGCGGTAACAAATTCTCCCTTTCCATGCCTGGGTGGCAGGTATTCTTTTCAGTTTAAGTTCCAAGGGACATCGAGTAACAATGCCTGCAGCAGTTCCAAAGACAGAGGTAACTCTCTCAGCAGTTGTTATACATGATATGCAGCCAGGGACTGTGTGGCGTGCACAGGGTTGCCTAATACTTCACACAGAGACACAGAAATGTTCCAAGAGACGTTACCAAAGTGGTCTTGTCTGATTTCCTGCTCAGAGTAGGACAGTTGCCAGCACTAGATGAGGCCAGCCATGGCTCTGGCCAGCCATGTCTTGTCTTGCAAACCTCCAAGGATGGAGATTCGCACCTCTCTGGGTGACCTGTTTCAGTGTTGCACCTACATCCTATGAAAACCTTTTCCTCAAGTCCAGCCTGGAAGACTAGATGGTATTGTCAACTCATGCAGAACTTATGTGTGTATGCAGAGCTGGAAAGTGAATCTTCATGAGCTGCAAAGTCTTCCAACAATCTTCTCTGACTTAAATAACATCCAAGGCACATGTTTGTAAGTAAAGATTTTTGTAAGATATCTGTAAGAAAATCTTGTTAAAAAAACCCCAAACCAACCCCAAAAGCAGATTTCAATACTCTGCTGCACTACTCTTTGCTGGGAAATGCACAGAATCAGCTGATGCTACCTTTCAGTCTGTCCAGTTTGGGGGAAGAACGCTACACTACACTCTTCTTACTCCTGGTCTCTTGACCACCAAGAACATGTGCCTTGTTGGAGCTACCCTGCAGTCCCCCATCCATTTCTTCTACTGGAAAACAGAGCTGAGAAGGCCCCTGGAGTCTCACAATTTAGATATAGTTTCAATCATGGAATTACCGAATCCTAGACAAAAAAAAACCCAAAACAAACCCAAACCTGAGAAGGTGAATTCTTACCATTGCCCCTGGGAAGAGCAATACCAGACAGGGCTTCTAGGACGGAGCTTTTCCCAGAGCTCTGGTCTCCGATCACTGCAATCGCGGGCAAAGCCAGGTCTTTTTCTATTCCGAGAGCTCTTAGGCTGTCGATGAGATCAATGCAGGGTCGGATCTTCCTCTCATATTGGTTGTACAAGGTATGTTCTGCTGCCTGCTAGAGTTAAACTTACAGTGAATTTTCCATAATTTTAAAATAAGTTGTTTCCACAAAAAAACCCTTATAGGCATCTTTCCCAGCTCATCGTTCTCTAGTAAACCTTATGTACTGGCATCAAGCTGTGCTTTGTATCACTGCGCATCCTTGCACCTCCGTGTTACAAACAGGTGTCTGTAAATACGACAAAATCAGTTGAGGTTGGCTCAATGACCACCCTTAGTAAAAATACCAAGCTTTGTAAGCTATCCTGAGAAGGTAAAGAGTAAAGGACACCTCATTACTTAAGTGTGCTTTGTTAATTTATTTTTTTAATAACTGCCATTTTCTTCCACTCATCTACAGATGTACTGAAGTATGTGTATGTAAGTGAAGACTAGTCCCAGTAATAAGATAATTTAGTACGTAATAGCTTATTAAATCTGTGTTTTGAAGTTTGAAGATTTAGTTTGTGTGCAGACACCAGAAGCGTTCTGCTGTAGTGTCCTTAATAGGTGGCTAAAATCTTTTAGATCATCATGGCTCTTCTTTCTTTGACTCATTTTAGGCTAGGGTAAGGGATGAATATGAGCAATTTGTTCAAAATGACTGATTATTGTATTTTTGGTTTTGATACATGTGCCAGATATTAACACAGGCTCTTCATTTTCAAGAAAATCAAATAATCTCCAGACCTTTACAAAACTGGGCCACCTGCTGTTAAATATGCCCAGCATAAAGATCAGCTTGGTCTCTTCTCCCCATTGCTCTCTTCACGTTCCAGTCTGACTGCTGCATTCAGAAATGCAATCTTGAGAACATGAATATTTTACAGACCCTAACAGGCCAGGCACATTCATAACTGATCTTTTGAAAAGAAAAATCCCACTATCACCTTTGTCTGAGAAAGCCACCCCTGAAGATATGTCTGTCAATCAGATGTAATCAAACAGAGCAGATTTTTCTTTCAAGATGAGAAAGACAGCACACATAACTGGAGGCAGGTATTTTAAAGCTTTATTGATAAGCCCTCCCCACTGTCTCCATTACAATGTTTGGTAGCTGGTAAATCCTAACCATTCTCAAGGAACTTCATTAACTATGACACAGACTTAAAAACTGTTTTCAGTGTCAGATATTCAACACAGATTATTGATCTTTCTTTGTATTTCTGTTGAAGGTAGCAGAGCCTCAAGTGAAAAATACCTCAGATTTTGGAATTCTGTTCAACATTTGCTATTTGTTACCAATAAAACAAACAGATACACTTTGCACATTAAATTGGCTGCTAGGCTGCTGCCATCCTACTTTTTACACCTGTTTTTTTTATGCCTGCAGATTAATTGCAGATATCTATCTTCCTAGTTACACCAATGACTGCTTGGGCCTGGTCGCAAAAGTACTCCTCTGTTTAGACCTAACAAGTGCAGATTGCCCAAAGAGACAAAGTGAATTAATTTTGGGGAATGAAGTGAAACACCAGAGTAATAGTTGGGAGGCTTTATGCCCTCTTCTGGTATCTGCCTTACCTTGTCCTGTTCTCCGTGATGCTGTTTCTTCAACTCCTTCTGCTCATAGATAGGCTTTCTCTCAATCATGTTCTCCGACGTTGGAAGACCTTCATCTTCGTCATCGTCTCCTGGGAGAGGTACTGCAAAAGCTTCTAAAGATGGTTGGAGGGGAAGTGGTGCAAACACACCACCATTCTTCAGAGCAGGGCTGGCACTTTCAGAATGTTGTTTGAACACTACACTCTTATTATCCATGGCCTGCTGATTTTTTGGCCTACAACACGGGTTGCTCATAAGTGCTTCACTACACAGCGATTGCTGTCTTGTCCAACTACTCTTCCGTACAGCTTCTGAAATCAAACATGGGGCACTGAGTGAGTCCAGCTTGCAACAGTGATCATAGCAGAGAAAAAACAAACACCACTTTTATTTACTGATTCAAACCCTCAGTAGACATCAAGTGCCACAGCTCTTTTCAAATCAGTAAAGTTGCTCTCCAGAGGATAAGCTTGAAACACTTCTCCCTACCTTTCTTATGCTTTCCTTGTGTTTTAAAAAACAAAAAAAAGAAGTTGCCACAGAATGAACAATGTATTTTTCTTGGGGTAAAAAACCTATTACACCAGTTTTTGCAAAAAGCCAGTTTTCCCCAATGAAATATTTTGCTGAAAGGTGTTTTGAGAAGCTTGGTCAGTCTGGCAGCTGCAGGACATGGTTGGAGAGAGTGTGCAAATGCTTAAACTTCAGTCACCTGGGGTTGGGAGTACAGGGCTGTGTAGCTGCCCGAGGAGGGTCTACATAGGTGGGCCACTGTCAATGAGCGTAGGACACACCAAGCCATACTCTGCTATGCGGCCAACTTGCCTCTCTTGCAGTAGAAACACTTGTCAGAGGCAAGTCTTACACCTATTAGAGAAGCTCAGTATCTCAGCCCCCACCCTTGGTAGCTTAAAACCCTCACCAAAAACCAGACTTTGCTTGATATATGTTGGAGAAAGGAGAACTAGGAGATTGCTTATTGTTTTGTTCAGTTTTTCTTTATGTAAAAGTTTTGTTGAGCTATTTTCTGTGGGTGACTAAAGAAACTGGAGGCTTTTGATGTGGCGTTTTCCAGGAAAAGTGATTTCCAGACAGAATGAATTACCTTCCCCCCCAACAGTATTTTTTCAAAACTAGATTTTTTTTAACGTCCCCCTGCCAGAACCAAGATCTGTTTAACTCAAACACTTGGGAAAATGAATTAGGAGAAACATGTTTTTGCTTGAAATAACAGCCCGTTCTTTTAATTTTTTGCTTGGATTAAGTTTACAGGTTTTCTAATTTAAGCAGATGTCAAAACAGGATGATCAGACATAACATAAGTTATACATTCAATGTGTAAAACAAGTTCGGAAAAAACCCAGTTCTACAGAAAAACCATTCTACAGTTGCTATTCAGTCTTTCTTTTTAATAAATCAACTCAGTTTTAAAAAATAGATATTCCTATCTTTTTTATCAAAATTAAAAAATAAATGACTATGGGAGAAGTTCTCAGTTTTGACCAGCAATAAAAGATAACTGAATTACTTTAATTTCTTTATAGGTATTCATTTTACACTTTCCTCATCTTTCTCCACACGTCCCATTTCTTTAATATTTCAATATGAACTTTTTTTTCTTTCTATTAACGAATCATAAGATTTTTATTCCTTGAATGAGGACATGGTTCTTTATCTGCAACAAACATACTTTCCCCATCTACTGGCCACCAGATTCTTGGTGATTTTTCTATTGCTACAGGAAATAGTTTACTAATGTTTCTAACTGTAATCCCTTTTATTGCCTCTCCCATTCTCTACCTGCCCTTCAATTTAGTGGAACGAACACTTCCTATGAATTTTTAATTTAATGTAAATATTCCCCAAGAACATTTTTCCAGCCCTTTTACATTATTATTTATATTCAATTGGGCTGTGTTCAGAGATATTAATGTACTGGCTTTAGCATATGGCCTCCTAAACACATTCACCTCTTCAGAAAGAGGTTATACAGAAAGCTTTTGCCATCATGAATAGGATGAAATGCAAAAATAGTGTAGTAAGGCCACCAGGAAAAACAAAACAAAATGAAAAAGAACTGACTTGCAAGACAAACTTGTGACGTCTGGGAAGCTGCGACTTAAGGAGTCTGGCAAAAAAAGTGACAACTTTGAAATATTTTAGTGCAACGGTTATATCTTACCACATACTTAGAATGTTTTTTTAGCTAGGTCTATGGTGCAGACCACGGCGTGCACACGCAGATACACGGGCTAACAAAGATACCTACAGCAAGCAGCGGAGCAAATCAGCATGTGTGGGTTTCTGGGGCTACCCAGCTGTTCTCCACCCGGACCTGAGAAAGGTTCGGTAGGTAGGTGTGATGCCTCACTGTGCCATGCAGGCATAGCGATTTCTTTGTGTACTGAGCCTTGGCAACATCGCATGAAAGAAAGAAAGAAAGAAGGAGAGGAAAAAAAAGAGCAGCAGTTTTTAAATGCCTGTCTGGAACTGGGTGACGTGCTGATACTGAAAGTCTGATAACACCTCCCTCACCAGAGCTGCCCCTGCCTCCGTCATCAGGACAACGCTGGTTTCCTTGAACCTTACCTCCAGCCCTTCGCCTGCCTGTGTGTCGGAAACTCCCCGGCGCAACACAAAGCGCTGGGCTACACAGCCGCACCTGCACGAAGCACCAACCTGCTGAAGAGGCGTTGCCTCGTTTTTCTCTAACGATCCTGGCTTTGCATCTCGAGGGCTAATAACAAAATCCACTATCAAACCTGAAGTGCAAAGCTGAGGCGCTGAACCCAAGCAGCTCTTGCATTTATTCACTCTGTGTCCAACCAGAGGTGCAAGCAGACTTCTGCCTGACATATCCTGTGACTTCAGGATATTTGGGTAAAATACACGGTCTCCGGGTTGTACGTTTATTAATTCTAGCTGCCTCCTCAGAAAAAAAAAAAGCAGCGATGCAAAGCTTAACGATGCTACCTGTGAATACTGCCAGCGAGGCTGTGCTGCTGAACATTGCCCCCACAGAGTACATGCTTTAAAAAACGTGTTCCAATATAAATGCCGTCTCTCAGTCATCTCTCTTTAAAAAGGAAATAATACTAATGCCTTTTCTTTTTCCCCACCCCAGAAAGCAACAAATCCTACTCCTGGCAACCTTGTTTAATCACACTTACTTTAAGACTCCTATGCAGCCTTCTCACATGCAAATAGTAAAAGAAATGAAGATTACAGTCAAAAATTGCATGATTCTTTTTAGAAGAAGGAAAAGAGAAATATCTACCTGTGTAGTGTCCTGTAGCAAGGAGCAGCAGTAACTTTTTTTCAGGTTCTGGTGCTTTTTTATTTGCAGGCTCCACCTACACATTGTGACAAGAATCAGGAGAAATGAAACCACTTCTGATATGGAGAAGGGCTCGCTTAATGATAGTGCTAGCAATAATAATGCAATGTGGGTTTTTTTTCCCTTCTATTTCCTCATACATCAGCTAACTTTACTCCTGTCACCAAGGGGAGGGCAGAAAATGGAGCTCCTCATGGGCACAGCTAGCTGCTTCCTTGCCTGGCTGTACTGTGCCGCGGGGCGACAGGGTTCAATGGCAGAGGTACTGGGAAATATTGCCCCTGACCAACAACACCCTCTTCTTCCCCCAGAAGTCAGCTCCCCGAATCAGCTCACTCACACTTGGGGTGAAACCAGCCAGGTCGAGCGGAGACGGGGCAAGCTGCTGTGCCCCACTCCCACCAGGGCTGCCTGCTGGGGATGCTGGCCCTGCGCTATCCAGGGGACCCTTTCAGCCTCCCCATCCCTTCATGCGCAAAGCAAGCGGGTGAGAGCCCCCCTCCACAGGAGAGGGAATATTTTTTCCACTTCACGGCGAGACTTTCCAGCCCAGCCAGGGTGGCAAGTTGTGCCATCGCCCACCTGGGCTGAGCCTTTGCTGTGGGAGGCTGCAGGGTACGGCTGAGCTTGCTGAATATGGGTGACCAGAAAGCAAAGTGACACACAGTGTGATTTATCAGTGTTATGCACTGCTTCAGAGCAGTCAAGGTCTTGAGCTGTTTCTCAGGTCCTTGTGCTGTTTTCTTGATGTTACTGGGTCAGAATGCTCCCCTCTTCTCCTGTCTTTGCTCTCCTGCCTTCATTTTTTGTGTTTTTATAGGGTCTAAGCTGTTAAGCAAAATCACCTCGGTTCCTGGTGGTTTTGGTGGGTTTCAAACTGCATTATTCTAGTTCCTGGGTCTGACCGAACAGCAGTCACGATGTTCATTAGAGCCAGCCTTTCTTCCTATGTCCTCGCCTAGCAGTGACTCAGGGGGCTTGCATCTGAGCTTTGGCTGCAGGGGTGGAAACAGAGCCAGCGCTGCGCAGGCAGCACCACAGCCGGGCATGGGGACCCCAGCTGCAAGCTCTCCTGGCCTCCTCCACCACCCTTCCCACACTCAAGCATATAGGAGACCTGTCTGTGTGGGAATGGGCTTCTAAGTCACACTAGCCTGGAGAAGAGGAGGCTGAGGGGAGACTTTATTGCCCTCTACAACTGCCTGACAGGAGGCTGTAGCCAGGTGGGGGTCGGTCTCTTGTCCCAAGTAACAAGTGATAGGATGGGAGGAGATGGCCTCAAGCTGTGCCAGGGGAGGTTTAGATTGGACATTTAGAAAAATTTCTTCCCCAAAAGGGTTATCAGGCACTGGTACAGGCTGCCCAGGTTGGTGGTCGAGTCCCCATCCCTGGAGGTATTTAAAAGATGGGCAGACGAGGTGCTTAGGGCCATGGTTTAGTGGTGGGATGGCAGTGTTAGGTTAACGGTTGGACTTGGTGACCTTAAAGGTCTTTTCCAACCTAAACGATTCTATGATTCTATTCTACCAATTATCTTATTAATTTTTGGTGGTGCCTTTGTTATGTGGTTGATTCGGTTATGGGGTTTTGCTTAATCACAGGACCATGTTTCAAAGAAAAAGAGGAGCTCTGGGCAATACCACGTTGACCTGAAGGGAGAAATTGCAGTTGTCCTTTCTCCAAATGTCGGATTTCCATTCTCCTATTTTTCCTGAGTCAGCAAAATAAAATCTTTACCCTGTTACTAGGAAATGTTTCAGTGTAATTAATTGAAAGCAGGTTTTGTGTTCATGTAATGATTTATAACAGCATGTTTCACTGGAAATATGGTTCTACAGATTAAGATAACACAATAAAGGATGTTTAAAAATAGATTAAGCAGAAATTAATTCAAAACTCAGAAGTGTAGAGTATGTTTTGAAATAATTTTAATGAACAGAGAAGTGGGACACAATGCAAAAGATGAAAGACCAAGCATTTGTCAAAGCAAATTCAGATTACATTTTAAAAATGGAATACAAAAATGTAATATAAATGCACTAGCTGGCAGGATCATTATGAGCCATAAACCATTAGGCAAAGTCCTGAATCATAAAATTATTCCAGCAGGACCGGAATATCATCCGGTCAAATCTTATGACTCAAAGTGATTCAGATGGTGCTGTCTTGAGCTTTATCCCATCAAGTTGTGAAAGCTCCCAAGGATAGTTTCCACAGCCTCACTGCGAAATTCCTTCAAATTATTAAATACCTTAGAGTGTTTTATTTTTTCTTCTTCATATCCAGCTGGTTATATCCCTCCCTTCAGTTTATGTCCCGCTGTCTCTCATTCCCCCACCGTGCATCTCTGCAAAGAGCCCAGCTCCATCCTCTCAGACAGAAGTGCTGGGGGGCTGCTACAAGCCCCAGGGCCACTGCTCCTGCCCTCCCTCAGACTTACTGTTCTGCCCATGTCTTGCCCATACTGGGGCCTCTAAACAGGAGGCTGTATCCAGATGAGGCCTAACAAGTGCTGAACAGGGGGGAGACAGTCACGTCCCTCCATCTCCCACCTCCTCCCGTCCGCAGGGTGCAGGGTGCTGCCAGCGTTCATGGCTGCCAGGACATGCTGCTGGCTCATGTTTAGCTTTATGGCCACCACGAACTCCAGGGTCCTTTCCAGCAGAGGTGCTTCCCAGCCACCAGCCCCCAGTTCGTGGCACTGCAGGGATTTATTCTGTCCCAGGAGCAGGATTTTGCATCTGGCCTTGCTGAGTGGACAAGGACCTTAAAAAAAAAAAACAACCCCCAAATAAATTAACATCCTCAGACAATGGTTAAGAAAAACACTGCCAAAAAAACAAGCCAAAAATCCCTACAAAAGCAACCCCTGCCTTAATAAATAAATAAATAGAAGTCCCACAAACAAGACAGAACAAAGCCAAAGCCAGCAGTAACAAAACAAATCCCCCAAACTACTAGGAAAAAGAACATCCCTCCCAAAAACCCCCACACCACAAAACATCCTGCCAAAATAAATGAAATAACCCCAACAAATAGAAGCTACCAAAAAATAAGGGGAAAGAGGAAAAAATGAAGGCAAATATCCAAACTGGTGTAAAACAAAAAGGAAAACTAAATGCTTAAAGTGCTTAAAAATTGCTCGACTCGGGAAGATAAACATAAATTGGCAAGGGAAGGGCGCTCATTTCAAGTGTCTCCTCCTCAGCTGTCTCTTGAGCTCCAGCCATGCAGAAGCTGGGTGGATCAAGTAGTAATGGCATTTTTTTATAGCAAAAAGCACAGTTGAGCGGGGTGTTGCTTCAGTGTAGGACACAGCTGGTAGGAAAAAGCGAGCACGTTCATCCCGCAAGCCTGCTCAGTAGCTCCTTTAAACCTGCGTAGCTGCTTGCAGCTCTGCTGCTGCAAGAACCTGCTTCTGGTAGCTGCAGGTGTGCTGGCTCCATCCACTGCGAGGATGACTTTAAGCATGGCACAGATGTGTGCTGCCAAGGGCAAAGGGTCTGGTTTTGGGGTTTCGTGTCCAACACGGCCCTAGTCTGAGCAGTGTCAGCCTAGAGTAGAAAACTCCATCATTCCCCACAGCGTGACATGAGCAATGGCCAGATGACGTACATTCAAAATCTTTGAAATGAGTACCAAGCTTATGGAAACTTATTTTAGATTATGTACATTCCTTCAAAGAGGGGGACCACTCCCTCAATTTATATAAGGCAGAGTGGCTAAGAATGGAACCTATGTTATTGAGGGTATTAAACCCGTTTGTTCAAGGGATATTGAAATCTGTTACCGATCATGATGATGATGGTATCCAAACAGTTGCCAAGAGAGAACGGATCCTGACATCTGGACATTTACAAGTGGTGATATTTTTACCTAACCTTTATTCTACTTTCCTAGCTTCTGACAGTGAGAACTGAATAGAAGAGCATTATCTGTTACAGATCAGGCAAATAAAGTCAGTTCTTCACAGCTGTTTAGCACTTTAGTAATACAATTTGGGGGGGGTGGGGGGTGGGGTTCTAAAGTGTAAACCCCTGCATGTAGTGTGTATGATTGCCCAGGAACTGTTTAGTTGGAACTAGCTTTGCACGTGCTTACTGTGCTTCTGTTCTTTTAATCTTGTTGCATTAAAAATTACTGAGACGAGTAATTCGTGTAAATTAGCAGCTTCAACAGTAAACTTAAGGGTAGCAGGGGATCCAGCAGAATAGCGTTGGGCAATTTTTATTGTACCCCTTGAGGCAAATTGAACACACATTTGTGCTTAAATACAAAAAGATTTGAAGAACAATGTATTGGGCAGAGTCCTATCGCCACGGGCGGTTCTACAGGGACTATGCAAAGATGTGGCACGGGCCGATTCCTTACACACACTTGCACCGGTACCCATCATGTGAGCATCAGCACGGGGCACCTCAGCCCCGTGGTCCATCCTCCAGCACCATCTCTGCTGCCCAGAGGTGTTCCCTGAGCTCTCCCAGTGCACCATTGCTACAAGACGATGCTGTGGCATTTCTTATCTCATCACCTGGGGAAACTTCAGTCCCTCACAGGGAGCAGTCCTGCCTCCAGCATCCCCGCTTCCAGCCAGGGTAACCCCTTCTTGCCCTCCATGCCAGATCGTTCCTCGGTCACAAATGACCATCGCTGAGCAGTTACAATTTGAATTTTCCCTCCCATGGCATACTAGCAAAACAGGTTATGAACTAAATCAGTGCTGTCTCTTCACTATGAAATGTCTGTAGCTCAAGCTGTCTGAGCTTCACTCCAGCAAAATAAACAGAGGTGCAGACCCCCAGGAGTGGACTGGGAAAGGAGAATGCTTTCCTCACATGTTGGGAATAAACACAGGGACAGCTGCGTAAGGAAATCTGCAGGGCCAGTTTCATGTATGAATTGCATCGGTTGTGTCTTACAAATCATAGAATCGTTTAGGTTGGAAAAGACATTTAAG